GTAACAAAATTATACGTCTTATAGCCAGTCTATTTATAGAGTTAGTGTTTTGGACTATTACAAAACTCGTCTTTAACTTAACACATATTTAATTTATTAAATAAACTAGTTGACGCCCGTGGATCCGTCTGCACGAAATTAAAAAAAACGTAGTAAGTAACCTATGCGTTCTTCTAGACCAGTGGTTCCCAAACTTATTTTGTCTACTGCCCACTTTGAGAATAAATATTTTTTTAGCGCCCCCGTATTTTCACATATTTAAAGACCACTATAACTTCAAATTAAATTAATTAATTATTGTGACCTATATATGTATAAAAACGGAGAATTCTAAACGAAACTTTTACTATAACCCGCAACTTGAGACCTGCAGCGCCCACAAGGGGGCGTTATCGCACACTTTGGGAAAGACTGCTCTAGACTATGTTCTATATATACGCCAAATTTCAACGAGATTCATTTAAACATTCCGGAGATACCTTCAAACATCCATCTAAACATTCGCATTTATAATATTCATCATCATCATCATCAGCTCACTATACGTCCCCACCGAGGGTCTCGGAGCCTACCCTAAGTTAAGGGTGATTAGGTCATAGTCAACCACGCTGGCCCACTGCGGGTTGGTTGACTTCACACATATCTTTGAATTTCTTCTCAGATATATGCATCACGATGTTTTCCTTCACCGTAAGAACGTCGGATAAATGTACATATCGGAAATCGAAAAACACATTGGTACATGGCGGGATTCGAACCCAGGACCTGCAGATTGCAAGTCGAGTGCTTGACCACTGAGCTACCGACGCTGTATATTTATTACTATTTATAATATTAGTAAGAAGTAAAATTTATTCAAAAATATATGTACATCATTAAAATGTAAATGAAAAAAATCATGGAAAAATTGTGTAAAAACGTAAAATGACTTTGCAAAACCCTTTTGAAGTTTTGAATGTACTAATTGCGTAGAGTAGCTACCCACAGAGAGATTCCTATGAGGATAATAACTCTGTAATTACAAGCTCTGTTTTATCGTACACTATGATTATATCATTTTACCGAGAACATATAATAACTCAACTTTATATTTAAAAACTACGAGAAAATATGTAGCAGCAACGGTTGAAAATTTTATACTATAGTTCAAACGTTTTGATGACATTTGTTATCTTCTACTCAGCCATGAGACGCCCACTGCTGGGCATAGGCCTCCCCCAAAGATCGCCACGATGACCGATCTTGTGCCACCCGCATCCAGGATCCAGGACTCCCATTGTTAATCATCCATTTGTTATCTTACTATAATAATATTATTAATACGAATGTTTAGATGGATGTTTGTTTGAAGATCTCCAGAACGGCTGAACGGATCTTTATGAAATTCGGCGTACATATAGAACATAGTCTGGAAGAACACATAGGCTACTAATTTTGTTTGTTTTTAATTCAGCCTGAACGCAGTCGCGGACGAACGATAGTCAATGAATATTTCCTTACATGGTTAGAATTAGTTTACCGAAGACTTCAAATGGCCAAATAATATAAAGAAATTAAAACAACCATTAAAAATGCTAAAATGATTACTTAAGCTTTTTATACTTGTAATTTAAATTATCTATTAATAACTAGCTATCGCGCGCGGCTCCGTCCGTGTGGGTTTATAAAAAAACTTAATTAGTGTAGCCTATGTGTTTTTTCAGACTATGTTCTATACGTATGCCAAATTTAATCGAGATCCGTTCAACCGTTCTAGAGATACCTTCAAACACCCATCCATCGACATCACATCCATCTAAGCATTCGCATTTATAATATTAGTAAGAAAATAAAAAAAAATAATAAATAGTATCCTAGGTCTGTCTTCTGGCTCTAAGCTCCTCACCAATTTTTGGCCATATCGGTAAAGCCGTTCTTGAGTTATAAATAGTGTAACTAACACGACTTTCTTTTATATATTATACTAGCGGACCCGACAGACGTTGTCTGACAATTTGACACTGCGATGGTAGCGCCGTTTGTCGGATCCAATGTAAAACATTCCAAAATCAACAACTACTAATAAATTAAAAATTAATGAAAAAGTTATTTTCCAGCGGACAAAATTGTGAATCTAAACCATTCCCAGATCCCCTTGAACACACACAAAAAAATTTCATCAAAATCGGTCCAGTCGTTTGAGAGAAGTTCAGTGACATACACACTCACCGAAGAATTATATATATAAAGATCTAGTAAGATTTAAGAAAAACAAGAAAAAAATCATCAATCGATTTAAATTAATCTTATCACTACGTGAATATTTTAACGTAAACTTTTTCCTTTTAAATTTGTAATTGGTAAGAATTCTCGCAACTCTACTAGTCATATTAATTATAATGGACCGGTTTCATTTATCGACCTGTCCATTCATAGACACAGCGAGTTAGGGTCGCGACACACTTGATGGATACTCAAGGTCTTTTCTATTAACCATAGACTAACTATACCTAAAAAAAAAACAAACAAAAAGAACATTTAATAGTAATATCTAAACATTTAACAATACAACGATAAACTATTAAAATTTAAGTAGTAACATTGGATTTCTTCTGTTAAATATTAGTGTAAAAAAAAGTATTGCTATCTCTCTTAGTCTCCTAGTAAAAAGTGAGAGAGATGTTTATTACAAATTGCGGATTCAAGGTAACAGATATTGAATTGCATTTAAACATGTAGACGTTCTATTTTTTCTCTGTTTTTTTCCATTTTTTATGTTACTGTAACAATATAATTGAAACGGAAATTAATTTTAGAATTTACGACAAATAGCAATACTAAATATTCAACAAATGACAAAGACGAAATAAGTTGAATACAGTTTAAGACAGGTGGCTCAGTGGTTAAGTACTTGATTTGTAATCTTCAGGCCCTGAATTCGAATCCCGCTATGTACAAATGTGTCGTTCTTTCTCAATTTATTTTACATTTAACCGACGTTCTTACTGTGAAAGAAAACATCGTGATGCTGCACATATCTGCAAATAAATATTTGTGAAGTCAACCCGCACTGAGTCAGCGTGGTTGACTGTGGTCTACTAAGCTTAGGGTACGCTCCAAGCGTGGTTGACTATGACCACTTACTTAGGGTAGGCTCCAAGCCCCTCCTGGTGATGGACACGGGGGAGTCCATCACCGGCGACAGCTGGCGCAGACGGGACCGCGGACGAGAGCGAAAGCGTGCCCGTGGTCCCGTCCCGATGCGTTGGTGGAACAGAGGGGTTTAGTGGGTATGCTTCCCATCCGGAAGAGAATCCCACATAACTACCGCGTCCCCCCCGGGGCGGGGAGTATGCATAAAGCATTCCCCTCTGAAAAAAAAAGGCTCCAAGCCCCTCAGTGGACGTAAGAGCTGATGATGTAAGAGAAAGGGAGAAAGTAAACAAAAGTAATTATTATTATAAAGATTAATCATATTATTATAAAGCGATGTTTATTTTAAGTTTTAATGATGCAACTATGATTCATGCAACATACATTGTAAGACGGTCGTAAATAACATAAGTTAATTAAAAGTTTAGTGACCTATATAAGTAATTTATATCAAGATACCAGTTGATCCCGACGTGCATTGTAATGACAAAGTCCGATTACGTAAGACGTGTAACTAAATAATTAAAGTAGAAAAGATAACCCTATTATATTCTACACCTTCTTATACAAATTAAAAAAAAACAGTACACCTCAAGAGGCACTCGGATATAATAAATTAAGGTATTTTTCATTTCTTTTTTATTTTCTATTAATGTTGAACACCTGAAATCGCTGTAATAGCGAAGTGACCGTTGCCCATAGACATACGCAATTGCACACGCGTTGCCTACCTTTAATCGACTGAGGAGAAGATGCACAGAAAGAAAATATCTTTCCATGCATCCTCTCATCTGGAAAGTCCACTTTCACTTACCATCCTGTCCTTTTAAGAAAAAGGGTGTGAAGGGAAAGAGGACTAAATTAGCCCTCCGGGACGCACACTCATCAGACGAAACGCGGAATTGCTTCCATTTGACGCCTGTCTTCTGTGTGGTCGTGGTATTTCACCGGGGGAGCCGGGACAATTCGTGCGAAGATGTTAAAGCTCGCTCTACCACTGTTAAATTATGATATGATATGGTAATAATGACAAATTATCAGTTTACTTGTGTGTTTTAATACTTTTGTGAATGTTTTATAATTTAGTGTGTAATATTAAGCATTTATAGTCATAGATGAAGTCTGATAGTGCTGTATGGAAGAGCAGCACATAAAGTTTTAACCTTCCGTACTGAAAAAGGTGGTCTGAGGTCTTATACTCTCCCAAAATCTATTAAATGGTTTAGAAACTCATTGGGCATAAACATTAATGCTAATTTTAGTCCTCTTCCCCATTCCTAGGAAAAGTCGAAGTGATATAGGACGAAAGCATAGGAAGGGGAAATATTATCTTTGTGTGTCTCTACCTCTGTCGATTAAAGGTAATGCATCTGTAATTGTGAATATCTAAGAGCAATGGTAGCTTCGCCATTTCGATGAATTCAGATGGCTAATTGATTATTAAAAAAAATATTTCTATTAAAAAAAACTAGCCAAAGATGTAACCGTTCGTTCCCACACTATCCATTTGATGTGTCACAACCCTTACATAGTCGAGCCCACATTCCAATGTATCGTACGTCGCAGTAATCAAATTTTTTTACTTCATAGATACGCTACACGTGATATTCTAACCAACTTACAAATACAACTGGCAAAACTAAGATCATTTTAATATCGACTTAATTGCTATGCAAATAGAGCACTAATTATATTCACAGAGACGTAAGATAAAGTTGGTCAGATTGATTTATAACAAGAAGACTTGTCAAAATGATATCTAGGGATTCGACGTCATACGACGTGTTCAGAGGCGGTTATTGATGCAACTAAATATCGACAATATTAGAAAGGTAATAAAGCTTAAAATTGCACGATTGGATTGCATAGATGTCTAGATGAATCATCGGCGTAATCGGAATTCCATATTACGGTTCAAAGATGATGAAACACAATACAATACAACAGTCATTGCATGTAGACGAGAACATTTGGCGCGAAAAGAAGGTGACAACTGGATCTTGGCAGAACGGAGATGCCTTTTGCCTTGTGAATTAAAAAAAGAAGCTTGACGTTTAATCGTATGACAAGTACTGGCCAGTTTAGTAAGTAATGTTTTTATTTTTCTTAATTTACTTATTTATTTAATCCAAAATTTATTAGTATAAAAAAATAAAATTAGTTTCTTCTACGAGTTTTATTTATCAATAGAAATCAGAGTAAATTTTTCTAATTACAAAAAATACCACATGTATTATAAAAAGAATTGCCTAACTGCCTATCTGAGTTACAATGGTTATCATTACGTTAATTAATCATATTTCAAATTAAAAAAGAAACTGAACAAAACTTAATTTAACGTAACGGAAAACAATTAAAAAAAAAACAAAATTCAAATTTAGAACAAAACAAAACTTTATCGAACACAAATTTTAAATTTAGAATTCGAATTGATTCCATTTTTAAAAAATTCGAATCGCAAGATATAATCTTTTATTTGATATTACTTACTATGAATCTCTCAATAATAACATAATTAAGGGCCAGCGGTAACTAATTCGTCTACTTGACAACCAACACGTAGCCACCCCGTACCAAAGCGTTGGGTATAAAAGGGGTTGTTGGTTGGTGAGTGTTCATATTCCAGACTTATCCATACAGGCAACACAACCTCCTAGACTTGGTCGGATGAAAACGTGTTGTGAATATCGGATTTATTTCTAATATTTATCATCTGTGTAAGGTATGTACACGATTTTGAAATTCGAATACATTTTTGTATAATGTTAAATTTTATTATTGCGATTTTTCACTATTTTTTTATTATAATTTAATATTGTGGTTGTATTTTTTTTCGAGATTAAAAACATTCTTATCGTATTTAATACTTATTTCTTAGGATATAAAAAGAGATATTTATTTTACGTAAAATTTTAATATTATTTATAAATTTAATTTCTCAATTAATAAAATTAAATTGTTTTAAGTGTACTTTACTTTTATATTTTTTGAATTAACAAATCAAATTGAATTTCTGTAATAATCAATATTACGGATTTTTTTTTTGTAATTATTATTTATTTTATGTATCGGTGATGTAAAATTATATTTAGTTAAAGAATTAAATCTAGGTCCATGTAGCAGTTAGTTTCGTGTTTCGTAAATCGTAATAGTATCGTAATAAGTTGATAAGAAAAATAGTTAAAAATAGTTGTAATTTTCCGCGTAAATTTACTCGATTTATTTATTTACTTTTTCTTGTAATGTTGGCGAATTGATTTTCTTTTAAATATGTTTCTAATATTTAAAATCTTTAATAATCTTTTATTCTTATTATTTGGTAAAACTTTTAAGGTTGTTAAATGTTTTTTATTCTCCTTTTCGATTTATTTACATTACATTTTACTTGAAGGTAACATTTATTAAGGTCTCAAAGCTGAAATAAAAATGTTTTTAATTCCATCTTTTATAATAATTCCAACGTAATATCAAATACTAAATTCAGTTTTAAGTTTTGAATCCTTAATATGAAATAAATTTATAGAGTTAAATAATAAAATAAATATCGTAAGACATTTTTTTAATCATAATTAACGTTAACGTTTCATTTATTTTCAGGCGATACTTTCTCCATCTGTTATCAAGTAGCGAAGATGTTTAAATTAGTGTCGCTATTCGTCGCCGCGGCGCTAGTGTCGCTGCAAAGCGCTTACATCGTCAGTGCACAAATTGACAACCCCAAAAATGATTTGGATAATAATTTACAAATTAATCGTAAGTTACTTATTTTGCTTTATTTTTCTAATAAAATAAATATCATATATTTATTAGATAAGTGTCCATTGTCGTTATAAAAGAAATTAAAAAGACTACAATTAATCTAGTAATATTATAAATGCAAATGTTCAGATGGATGGATGTTTGTTTGAAGGTATCTCCGGAACGGCTGAACTAAAGTCTATGAAATCTGGCATTTATCTAGAACATAGTCTGAAAGAACACATAGGATTACGAAGTTGTTTTAATTCCATGCGAACAGAGTCACGGGTGATAGCTAGTAATAAGTAAGCTACTGTTTGCATAAACAATGATACAAGGAAGTAATGAAATTCAATGAAACTGCAAAATCAAGTAGATTTTTCATTGAATATTTCAAAAGAAATCTTTGAATACTGCAGTTTTGTGATTTTACTGTCTATTTTTTGTGTTTGCGTTTTTTTCTTAATCCTTTGTTAAAATACACTTTTGTATGTATTTTACTGACGTAGAAATTTAAGGTTTTTTTTGTTTAACACAATATAAAGTAAATTAATGTTATCAATCGATTTAAAAGTGTAAACCAAAAAAACTTAAATAATAATTAAAGAATAAACCAATTTATTTTAAAACTTAAAATAAATATATCGAAAGAGGTTTGTTTAAAAGAGTTTCAGTAAAGTTTTATTAGTAGTTGTCTCCCGTCTAATTAGTAGCCTACGTGTCCTTCCAGATTATGTTCTAAATCTATGCTAAAGTTCATCAAGATTTATCCGTTCCGGAGATACCTTCTAACAAACATCCATCTAAACTTACGCATTTATAATTAGTAAAATTATATTAAAAGATTCTTAATTAAAACTCTCATTTCATTCTCTTGTTTCTTTAACATATCCTGACACGAGGCCAACGTGACACACAATTGGTGAATTCTATTCGCCGCTAGATGACGCTCGAGGCGAATAAATTGACCATCTGTTGTACATTGAATTGCAAAGCGCCGGAGCTGTGGCTACATATTACAAAGTCAAATGGCAAATCACTTTTGCAAAAACACCAACCCAACGATAGCCCATCCGGTAACCGCGTATTAATTGGGTTATAAATTTGAATTCGGATCTGATTCATTCGCGGAAGAATAAATGTATTTACAATCGTATTCTTTTGCTATTTAATTTTTTTATACAGTTTCACTGCAATGAAATTGTAAAAAAATATACTGCTTAAATTTCGATTCGCAAACTTTCGTGGGACTTTATTAATAACTAATATATAAGCGGGATGTGCGATGGCTCGTGTCAGCGAATAACAGTCCCATTCAACTTGATGAAGTGCCCCCGATTGGCTCGAAACTAGTCACTGCCTCCACCGGACAAAGCTTCAATCTATGTTATTATATTATTACGTTCGTTTAGTAAAACTTTAAAAAAAAGCGCAGTAGACTTATTGAAAATGTATTACGTATTTAAATAGGAGGAGTCGAATCGAATATAAATTCAAATGTTTGGATGGATGTTTGTTTAAAGGTATCATCAGAACGGATGCATAGATGTTGCTGAAATTTAGCAAATAGGTGTATACCATAGCGTGGAAGAACACATAGACTAATTAAGTTTATTATTTTAATTCCGCGCGGTCGAAGTCGCGGGTCATAGCTTATATAAAATAAGAAGACAGCCTTTATAAAGTAAGATGTTATTGCAGCTGTTCCTCAACGTCGTCGTCTTCGTAATTTCATCAAGATGACACAAGCACCGCCGCAGCGCGTACGCTACGAGCCTGGTGCGGGCCTGCAGCTTGTATGTGAAGTGACCGCCTCGCCCGCACCTCAAGTGCAATGGCTTAAGAACGGAGAGCCCATGATAGATGTGAGTTAAACTGATACAGTGTCATACAAACTTAATGGCTGCTCGCAATAAGTTAACTCGCAGTTAATCACGAGCCGCTGTAAAGTTTGAATATTATAATACTTGCTTATAAGTTTTCACTGTAGATTCTGTATTCTGTAAACATGTCTCATTTATATAACACAAAAATATTAGAAAAACATGCTTTTTTTAATAATTAATGATTCCCTTTTAATAGTTATTTTTGTTATTCTAGTGTAAAATGCAAATTCATTATAGAACAGTATTTTTAAATTTCAAAGTATTACTCTTTTCATAGTTATGTTTAGATAGTAATTAACAATTCCTTTATCTGTAGACAAAATGTTTTGGTTTGTTTATTTATCGCTTATGTTAATTGAAAAATGATCAATTCCAGTACGAAGAGGAAGCCAATGAGATCCCGACAGTGGCCAACAACATTGCCCGACTTGTGAGCAAGCTGGTGGTGACAGCAGCGCGCTCTGGTGACGTGTTCACTTGCGACGCAAGCAGCGGCCTCAAGGAAATAACCGCATCTACCACTGTTTATACTGAAAGTAAGTTTTGAAAGCGACATCTAGCGACCAGTAGACAGATTATGCTTTATATTAATTTTTGCTTTGTAGCTTCCTATAACCTAAAACAGTGATAGATTTCTTCCTGTCTACTATATACAAGTAGATAATTTACCTTGAATGTTGTATTTCGTTATGTTTTACAATTTTAGTTGTTTTTGCTCCTGAAAAAAATTTACAGCTAATTATTCAAAATTGTAAAGTTGCTATTAGTTTAGCACAGGCGCCTTTTTATAACTTCATTTTGTAAACAGAAAATTTATCTTTCAGCTGAACTCTCCCCGCAACTATTGTCATTGGAGAACCTGTTCCCTGCGCCGTCGAAGCCTGTGATAACTCTGCACTACGAAGACATCCTCCAGGAGAGCGGCAGTTCTCTGCTGCTGCCGTGCCGGGTGAGCAGCGCCGGCGAACACCAGGTCGTGTGGCAGGACAACAATAACCAAGTCGTGTACGGCAGTCCTAGGCTACAGGTATCTTTCATTTACCACGTGTTTTCTTTCTTTATGTTGCTTTATGTTAGCAAAACTTTAAAAAGCAATACAGCCAAGTCAATTCTTAAAAATATTGTGTGAAAACTGAAATTTAGAGGCGTTTTTTAAGTAGAGCATTAATCTTTCTTATGGTGATCAAATTGTGATATAATCAATCCGGTAAGTTGGCACGTCAGTAACTAAAGTTTTGATCCGCATGACGTGCCAACTGATGCATCAAAAAGACTGAAAGTTCTGCGTATTTATTTGAATATATATTTTGCAGGTGTTGCCTTCTGGTGACCTGCTGATAGTGGAGCTGCAGTGGGGGGACATGGGTCAATGGAGCTGCACAGCTCGCAGCCCGCAAGGGAAAGACACCGCGGCTACATTCGTTTACCCTTCCAAGCCAAGGAAACAGGTAACTATTAATCTATTAGTAAAAGCAAAGAGAAATTAAAGATTGCTTTTAGAAGACATATAGTACTCGTAAGAAAGTTATTATGAATTATTTTAGAGTTGTTTTTGATAATTGCCTTTGAAAAACTAAGAAATGTTTTATAGTTATATCAAACACTTTGACTTATTTAGACCAATTATTAGTATATTTTGATTAAAAATGTTATTTCTTTCAGTAAATTAAAACGGATTGCTAGAAATGGATCAAGAAAGTTACCCGCCGATTGCTAAGAAAATCTCCCATGTTCCTATAAACGTAATATTGTAATATAGAAAATATTTAATTTATTGTTAGTTGTAAAAAAATATCTGTTGGATGTATAAATTAATTTAATTTTTATATAATTTGTGCCAATTTTAGGTTAAGTTTTAAATTACAGTGATTTAAAATGCATTTATATAGATTTATTAAAGAATTACATAAAAATTCTTGTTCAACATAAAATAATTGTTTAAAAAAAAATTTTGTTCCATTTAAAATAATTTAAAATTCGATTCAAATGTATTCCGTAAAAAAATTCCGAGAATTTCAAAATAGCCAGTATTTTTTTTAATTAAAAAAATGTTTTATCTAATTTCTCGTAAATATTTTGGAATAATTTGTTTATTTTTAATTTAAGTGACTTTTAAGGTTTTTTTATTTACATTATTGTTGATATGAAATCTGTTTTGTATTTATTTGTACTTAATTAGTTATAATTTGTAAAATAATTAATTTATTGTTTAATGTACATTTTTTATATTAAGACAAAACCTACAAATATCAGGGATTTGACCAAAAAAACATATTCCGATTTTTTTAATGTAAACTTCAAAACTAACTTATAAAATTAGTGAATTTATTTTCGAATTATTTTTTTTGCTGATATTTAAAAAAAAACTCCTTGATATTTGCAACATATTGATTTTCTAATACGTAAAATGTTTTACTAAAATATTTGATTTGTAAAATAGAAATGAAATAGAATTTAATATTTATTTTTACGTTATTTTTTTATTTATATCGTGTTTTGTTGATGCGTTGGTTTTTTATTGAATGTTGCCAATGTTTTATACATACTCTGTGATTGAAATAAATAAAATGATAAGTATGAAATATTATTTAGTATTAATTTTGACCTCTTTATCGAATAATATATTTATTTATTTTAAATATTGCATACTTGTATTTGATTTTGTTTTGGGTGTTAATGATAAATAAAGACACTTTACTTTAAATTCGGTTTTGTACGAAAAAATATTAATTTTTGTTACTAAATTGGAAGTTTATCTATTAGTGTAAAAATAGATACATATATGGTGCAATTTTAATTAGAAAACCTATAAAGCATAAGGAGATGACTTTACCTTTTCTCAATGAGGCCTTCTTTAGTCCAATTTCCCTTCCCACACTTTTTCTTATAAGGAAAGGATGGGAAGTGAAATGGACTTTCCGGATGAGAGGATGCACGGAAAGGGAAGATATTTTATTTCTGTGCATCCTCTCCTACGTCGATTAAAGGTAGGCAACGCATATGCGTATGTCTATGTGTAACATTCACTTCGCTATTTCAGCGATTTCAGGTGACCGCTCTCTCGTTTGCCATCTTTTGATATAAAAAAATGAATAATTCAGCTCTTTACCACAATCCTACTTAATATTAAATGATGTACGATTTAGGTATGAAAGGGTAATCGATGAATTAATTAACTTTACAAAGTTAGTAAATAAAGTAAATAATACATATATCATGTTAACATTTCTGTTAAGGACCGGCTCTTGTATATTTATTAGACTTCTTGTAGTTAATTGAATATTTATATGACCATTGATAACTCACAAATAGGTAAGGATCTTACTAATATATAAATGCGAATGTTTGGATGTATGTATGTTACGTATCTCCAGCACAACTGCATGGCTATCGTTAGAATTTGGCATAGATGTAGAACATAGTCTTTAAGAGCACTTAAGCTAATAATTAAGTTTCTCATTTCGCGTTAATGGAGTCGCGTGTGATAACTAGTATTGAAATAAATTTATCTGTCGAAAGCCTGATTACTAAAATAATTTAGTACCGGTTCTCATCACTAGATGGAGTTGTGCACAAAAATGTTTGTTATGATTTTTCCAAATGCTTTTAAAATGGGTGAATAAAGACAATATATTATAAACACTTTTATTCTGGTCTGCAAAAAGCGAAGAAAACATAATTGTAGAATTTCAAACTTGTTCTAACTAGTATTTTAAATTTAAAAAAAAAACACGTAGATAATTTACAAGAGTCTTCTTGCATTCTTGCTTATGTTATATAATTATACATATTGCTGTTTCTATTTTGTCAAAGAAAATGAAAGGGATGACAATATGTAACTGGTGATCGTATTCATTAAGTTACGAAGTTGTAATAATTCTAGTTGTAGCGACTGTCGCGCCGCCATGTAGCCGCGCGGTTAAACTTAACCTTTGGCAAATGTTAGGCGGTCAGATGCAACTCGCATGCTTTGTACACAGAGACGTACATAGAGTGGATTGTACTACAACTATTTAACTAAAGTTGTCCTCAGAACTCTCGGAGCGTCGTTTAGTGTAGATTTATACTAAAATGAAACAGTAAGGGGTTGGATTAATAGCCAACGCCATTTTACGGCACTTAGAGTATATTTCCACTTGGGGACTTTGGATTTCGAGTCTTACCAAAAAGTATGAAAGGAAAGTAATATGTTTTTGCTCAGATGTTTCTGCAGTGGAAATACAGTAAAATAAATAATGACAGTTAAAGACAATCAAAAGTATATTATCTTACTGTTGTCCACGACTCCATCTGAGATGAATAAAAAAAAAACTTAATAGTAGGCTATGTGTTCTTCCAAATTCTGTTCTACATCTACGCTTCAATCTACGCATCTTCAAACAAACATCCATCTAAACAAAATTAGTACGACTACTCCATGATTTTCTGTCCTATATCCGTAGCATGGACCGAATGTGAACGTCGCCTTGAGGCGCACCTTTCTTCCGACGCTGAAGGTGACCTGGGATCTGCCGCAGGATGCCGCCTTATATACTCTTCCTATGCACTAGGAAATAGTTTTTAAGCACTAGAATAAGTCCTTATGTTAAAGAGCATATGAAGAATATTGTTCACACCTTGAAAGTTATTTTTTTTTAAATAAAACAGATAGCAAACGAACAAGTTATTATCTGATTAAGCTAAAGCGAAATAACATTTTCAATAAGTTTACAGATTCGTAATCTACCTATAATAGAATCGGGGGATTTTTAGTCTATCCCTTCCCATCTTTTTTCGTATAAGGAAAGCATGAGAAGTGGGAGTGGATTTTCCGGATGCATGGGAATGCAAAATATTGCCTTTCTGTGCATCCCATTCCCCGTCGATTAAAGGTAGGCAACGCGTATGCAATTGCGTATGTCTAAAGGCAACGGTCACTTCGCTATTTCAGCGATTTCAGATGGCTCGCACGTTTGCCACCTTCTTACTTATATTATAAATGCGAATGTTTAGATGGATGGATGTTTGTTTGAAGGTATCTCCGGAACGGCTGCATGGATCTCGCTGAAATTCGACATAGATATAGAACATAGTCATGAAGAAAACATAGAGTACTAATTAGGTTTTTTTTTCATTCTGGCTACAGCTATTTAACAATAAAAGGTTTTAAAAACAATTTAATTGCGTATGTCTATAGGCAACGGTCACATCGCTTTTTCAGCGATTTCAGGTGGCCGCTCGCTCGTTTGCCAACTTATAATATAAAAAAAGGTTTAGTTATGAATCATCTTGTTATTTTGTCGTATATCAAGGATATATCTATCACCTGCTGTGAGCCTATAAGTTTTATATCAGGAAATCACGCCGATATTTTTTGCAAAGCATCACGAAGTCATTTTACTGAGAATTTTTACGATTTATTACATCTGTGATTTGTATTATTTTGACAGATCACGTTGCTTATGGAAAATACGTAGTTTATTTTACGGTAACATCTTACAGTGTGTTTCTGAGACCATCTCCTTTTCAAACATATCTTTATCACTGTTTTGTTCATGATAATGAAAAGGGTGATGATATGTTTTATACAGAGATTTTCGTCTCAGAATCCAACAGTTAGAGGAATTCCTTTAACAGCAACCGACTTTGAAATCAAGATTTTAATAGAATCTTTCGATGTGAAAGATTTCTTTGTTTTTGTCTTCAAAAGCAAAAGTTCAATTCGAACGTACTTTCCTTTTTTTATATATGTATATTGGCAACGATATGAATTATATTTAATACTTAAATTAATTATAGTAAGTTTTACTGTGTTTAAACTATGAAATTGAGAAACTGTTCTACAGATCTAACAAGTACATCGTTCATACATTCCAGCTGTCGCGTCGTATGACGTCATCAAGGCATCATTTTTATGCGCACGCATTTTAGTTTTGATAAACGGTGTAACAAGGTGTTTTGAGATTTTTGTATGGTACAATATATTCGCTAAATTATGGTGCACCGTAACTATACTTTTCGGTAGCGCTCTAAAAAAATAATTCGTGTCTCGCCTCTGTAAGACAATCTTAATCGACCGATAACTCATGACTGTGAGTACTAGACATAAAATTGTCTCATATAATTTTAATCTAGTTATTTATCTAGGTGTAGAAGGCTCTCTAGATCCCACGGAAGATCTGGCAGGGGTATGCGGGAAATAAAACCGTTCAATTATATATATCTTTTGTTAACTTATTAAAGTTCCTGATATTTAATTTCACCACACTTCAACTATTATTTTAGCATAAATTTAAACCACATCATCATCATCATCAGCTCACTATACGTCCCCACCGAGGGTCTCGGAGCCTACCCTAAGTTAAGGGTGATTAGGCCATAGTCAACCACGCTGGCCAAGTGCGGGTTGGTTGACTTCTACTTCTTTAAACCACAACTTCTAGTTAAAAAGGGCATTTATTTTGCATTGACGTCTTATTGACATTTAAAAATATAATTTTTTCCTTTTTTATCACTAATGTCAGTTAACATGTAACCTCCTTTAACAAAAATATTGATTCACAAGTTGAAGAAATCCTGTGTGGAATTTACAAGAAAAGAAGCTTTAAAATATATTAAAAGTAATAAATTTGAGATTAGATGTAAATAAACATTTTTACATGCACTGTATTTAGTCGTATGATCGAAGACGTAGTTAACCTGATCCAAATTTGTCAAATCAGCGAGTAACCAAGGCCTGCCCTATCACGATGCGCGCTGTCATTACAAGATCTTAACAGCTAACGCTTGTATCTTTTATGGAACACGCTGTATAAAA